CCTAGGATAACATATCCAGCAAAGCTTTCTTTTGTCTTTGAAAATGAAATAAAATTCTTCCACAGTCAAGAAATTTAAAAGAACTTGCCTCTTTCAAACCTGCCCCACAAATAATACTTCAAGATGTTCTCTTGACAGAGAAGAGGAATAGCACCTACCAAAACCAAAGGCAAATGGGAAGAACATCCCAGTAAAATGACAACAGAAGACTAAATCAATGAACAACCCATTCCTAAAATGACAGGACCAAAGTACCATCCATACATGTTAAACTCTGAATGTAAATGGCTTAAGCTCAATCAAACATCATAGATTAGTAGACTGGATTAAAAAACAAAACAACATCTATTTATTGTCTAGAAGAGACACACTTCAACAAAAATCAGCGGAAACTATATCACATGGATTTTGTTGTTTTCTGTTGGTTTCATCTCTTCAAAACACTTTCTTCTGATTAAATCATTCAATGACTCATAGATCATACAGCAGCATCATTTTCTTCAAGAAGGTTCTTGATTTTCATTTCTTCAGCTACACGTTAGGCATTTTGTAGCATGTTATTTAACTTCATGGTGTTGTTAATTTCTTTTTTCTCCCTGATGTTGATTTTGTTTTGTGGCTCTTCATTTAAGGGGATGTATAGTAGCTGTGTAATGGAGACTGTCATATCTAGTAACATGTCATTTAACTTCATGGCATTGTAAATTTCTATTTTTCTTTTTATTGTTGATTTTGTATTACGACTTTTCATTTAAGGGGATATAAGCTGTAAAATGGAGACTAACATCCAAATGTGAGGATACAATGTAGTATGCATTTCTACTTCCAGACAAAGATGGACTTGCAATGAAACTGTGTGCTGTATCTTGACAACAGGATGCTGGATTCTCTGTCATTGTCCATGCCCACAATGATGGACATATGACTGTGTATGAAGAACTATATTTTAGTAATGATATAGAGGAACTAGGTGAGGGTGGGGGGAAGGGAATTGGGGAGGGGATAAGGGAAATGCCAGGAGCCTATGAAACTGTATCATAAAATGATAATAATAATAAAATGTTAAAAAAAAAAAGTGGCAATCCTACTCAGTGGATCTAAAGTTGGGGGTGGGCTTCCGTTGTGTAAATGAATGACTGAAGTAGCTATATCAGAATGTCCTTTTACAACAGAAGCCCGAGGCCAGTGAGCAGGGGTGTGAAGGTAAACTTAGAACCCCTTTTGGATAAGACTGGGTGGGGGTAACCAATGGATTGGCTGTCCTGCAAAGCTGCCCTGGGAGCTCCCACCTTCTGCAGGTGCAGGCGGGGTATATGATGGTGGGACCCTGAGCGGGGTGCGGTGAGAAAGTCCCTCAGCCCTCTCGTGGTCCCTGCTCCAGCATTGGTTGGTAGCTCTGCTCAGCCTCTGCAGCCAGGGTTCACCATTGCCCTCGTTTTTCTGAGGCAGGCTGTGCACAGGTGGAGGACCCAGGTTAGAGGTGAGCTCAGGGTTTCAGGGCATGTCCGTGGGGTCCCCTGACCATCTAGACAGTGCGTGCAGGCATCAGGAGTGGGCTGCAGATGAGACAGAGGAGCAGAGGGTTGAAGGTGCAGCTCAGACGTGCCTTGCACGGCTTGCCCCATGCTGCTGCAGAATGAGCAAGAACTTGGAAAGGCCTGACCTTATGCCTGATCCAGTAGCAAGGGTTCAGATGCTGCCTCTGCCTCAGACATGCACTCAGTAACTTAGGAAAACCACTGGCAAAGCCTGCCCTCTGGTGGCAAGCCAACCTGCTTGCCAGACAGGAGGAGTAAGGCTTGAGATCTTTTTTGTTGTTGTTGTTTAATTATTCATTCATTTTATTATTTCATGATACAGTTCCATAGGCTCCGGAATTTCCCTTCTTCCTTCTCCAAATCCCCACACCCCTCCCCCCCAGTTTCCCCCATGTTGTTACAGTAGCGTAGTCCTTCACAATCAGTCCTAATGCATTATTCTATTTAATTGTATCCTGACTTTGTAAGCATGTAATGGCAGAGTCCAGCATCCTATTGTCAAGACACATTCAACAGTTTCATTGGGAGTCCATCTTTGATTTGGAAGTAGAGATGCACACTGCATTGTATCTTCACATCTGTATGTGATAGTCTCTACTGCACAGTTACTATACATCCCCTTAAATGAAAAGCCATAAAATAAAATCAGTAACAGAGAGAAAAATAGAAAATTTACAGCAACATGAAGTTAAATAACATGTTACTGAATGACCAATGTGTCCCTGAAGAAATGAAAATCAAAGACCTTCCTGAAACAGATGCTATTGTATGACCTAGGAGTCAGTGCAAAATTTAGTAAAAAAAACAAAACAAAACAAAAACTTTTACTAGTGAGTGAAAATAAAAGCAAAAATATCAAACCTCCTAAGATGTAGACAAACGGGATTGACGGGGCTATTGATCTCATATTTTGCATGAAGGTTGCCCTATATCAGAGAGGAATTATGATATTTGTCCTTTTGGGATTGCCTTGTTTCACTGAACATAATGGTCTCTAGTGGGGACCATTTGGTTGTAAATGGTGGAATTTCATTCTTTGTAATGACTGAGTAGTGTTCCATGGAGTTTCTTTATCCACACCTCTTTGGACGGGCATAAGGGGGTGTTTCCATCTCTTTGCTATTGAAGGTTGTGCTGCTGTAAGGATAGGATTGCAGATCCCTTTCTTGTATTCAGATTTCATTTCCTTTGGATGTATTGCCGGAAGTGGAATAGCTGGGTCTTATCGCAGGTACTCCTGTAATTGCAAAGGTTATGATATATGAGTGACAGATGTTTCTAATCCTCACCACAACTTTTAAGTGGTTGTTCCTCTCTCCATAATATATGTAAGGAGAATAAGACTCGGGATGTAAATGACGCTCCCTAGGTCTGAGAGCCACAGTGTTGGAACCATACAAAGGGCTTTGTTAAAGCTCTGCATGTCTACCCTGAGACCAACAACCTGCATCTCAAGAATGTGATCTCTCACTGATAAGTCATTTTCTTATTTAAGGGGTAAATGTGGTATATTCTGGTATATGCATGTAAGCTAATTAACATATCTACCGCTTAAACTACTTTAAGAATGCTTAAAACTATTTTGATTTTGTTTTAAAGGCAGAGACAGACACACACATACAATCCACCATCCTCTGATTCACTCCCGAAGTGCCTACAATAGCCAGAGGTGTGCTGGGCTGAAGCTAGGAGCCCAGAACTCGTGCAGGTTTGCCATGTGGGTGGCAAGGGCCTGAGTACTTTAGCCATTTGCCTGCTTCCTCCCAGGGTGCACATTAGCAGGAAGCTGGTTTGGATGCAGAGCAACTCCAATTTGAATGAGGTACTCCATTTTGCCATGTAGGCATCTTATATAGCATCTTAAACATAATACCAAATGACCACCCCTTCTTTTCTTTTGTATTAAGAGCATTTAAAGTTGGGCCTGGCATGATGATGTAATGGTTAAGGTCCTCACCTTGCATGTGCCAGGATCCCATATGGGCGCTGGTTCTAATCCCAGCAGCCCCACTTCCCATCCAGCTCCCTGCCTGTGGCCTGGGAAAGCAGTCAAGGACGGCCCAAAGCCTTGGGACCCTGCACCAGCGTGGGAGACCTGGAAGAGGCTCCTGGCTTCAGATTGGCTCAGCTCCAGCCGTTGTGGCCACTTAGGGAGTGAATCATCGGATGGAAGATCTTCCTCTCTGTCTCTCCTCCTCTCTATATATCTGCCTTTCCAATAAAAACAAAATAAATCTTTAAAAAAAAAAGAGCATTTAAAGTCAAGTGGCTATATACAATGCATTTAACTACAGTCACCACATTATGGGACAGCCTCTTAAAACTTATTCCTGGGCCCTGTGCAATTGGCTATTTGGCTTTGGATTGGCTAGTTCAGGCTGGTGTGACCACTTGGCGAATTAACAAGCAGATGGAAAATCTTTCTGTTTGTAAATATGCCTTTCCAATAAAAATAAATAAATCATTAAAATTTATTCCTCTTTTCTCATCTGACCTTTGCACCTTGGACCGCTAGTGTCCCCATCCTCCACTCTGCAGCCTCTGGTAACCGCTGTGCGGAGTTCTGCTTACATAGGTTTTCCTTTCTCAGATTGCATGTACCTGCCAAGATCAGAGAGTACCTGTCTTTCTGTGGAAGGCCTGATCTCAGTAGCTTGCCTTTTATTTATGTATGTTATTTTATTTTAAAATATTTATCTTTATTGGAAAGGCAGATTAGATTTGTGAAGAGGAAGAGAGGCAGACAGAAAGATCTCCGTGGATGTGAGCTTTTCATGCTTGTGAGACACCTTTTCCTCCCAGGATGGGGACACCCTTGGATTTGGAGCCCTGGGTGCCTGGCTTGCCCCAGCTTAGTCCTGGACCTCATAGGCCAGAGCAGCAAGAGAACAGCAGAGGGCACTGCGGGCTGAGGGTGAGTGCTGAGAAACCTGCTAGGTTAAGGAGCTGAGGTTTCATTCTGTGAACAGCTGGAAGGCATGAAATATTTGGGGCAAAGGACTGAATGAATGGAGGGTCTCAGAGTTGTCTGAGGGGAGAAAGTTGGTTAAACTCTGAACCAATGCAGTAAAGATCTGTAGGAACCTCCAGCACTTGGAGCTGGGAGTCCAGGCAGAGGGGCATGGAGGTAACATGCAGAACTGGCAGCTCTTTCCCAGCTGTGTGATCGTCTGTTGGAAGAGCTGACAGCTGGCAGGAGACAAAGGGAGAGTAAGCAGGTGGAGTCACTTGGCCTGGGAGAGGATGGGGCTGGCCTGGGAGAGGATGGGGCTGGCACAGAAAAGGGTTTTGGAGTTCTACCGAGAGGAGATGCGGTCGTAGCCCTGAATGTCCACCAAATTCATTTAGGGCTTTTCCAGGGTTCCCCATATACCCAGACCTGTGTGTTCACCTTGCTGTGTTCCTATAGCCTGCCTGAGCCCTGGCTTGATTGCCTGACCCGTCCTTCCTCTCTCTCCTCAGCCTGACTTTGGACCAGACTTTTCCTCGCCAGGGTCCCAGCCAGTCCCTGTCCTTCCCAGAAAGCTACCAGACTCTCCCCAAGAGCACCCACCACCCCTCGGGGAGCTCCTCGCCTCCTCCCCGCAACCTGCCCAGTGACTACAAGTATGCCCAGGACCGAGCCAGCCACCTGAAGATGTCGAGCGAGGAGCGCCGGGCACACCGGGATGGCACCGTGTGGCAGCTGTATGAGTGGCAGCAGCGCCAGCAGTTCCGCCACGGCAGCCCCACAGCACCCATCTGTGCCGGCTCCCCGGAGTTCGCTGACCAGGGCCGGAGCAGAAGCATGCTGGAGGTGCCCCGCTCCATCTCCGTCCCTCCTTCACCCTCGGACATCCCACCCCCGGGGCCACCCAAGGCCTTCCCGTCCCGGCGGCCACACACACCAGCGGAGAGGGTCACTGTGAAGCCGCCGGACCAGAGAAGGAGCGTGGACATCTCGCTCGGCAGTTCTCCCAGGAAGGCCCGGGGCCACACCAGCAAGGTGAGCTTTGGGAAGCACCACCCAGGCTACCGGCTCATGTGCCAGGCTGAGCCTCATCTTGTTTGAACATGCATTTGAACAATCTGGGGTCATAGTGATTGGTCATATTTCAGCAGTGCTTTTAGGTATAAGGTGCAGTCCTAAAGATTGGACTTTTTCCCCCAACCCTTTGAGATAGCTCCAGATTATACCCATTTCACAGATTGGAACTCTGAGGTATTGATAAGCCAAGTGCCTCACACAAGTTCACACAACTACAAATCAGCTTCCTTACAGCCTGGGAGGCAGGAAAAGATCCAGTCAGTCAATTTAAGTCTTTTTTTTTTTTTTTAATGATTTTATTTACTTGATTTAAAATGCCAATTTGTAAGACAGGTCTTCTACTTGCTGGTTAATTTCCAAAATAGCTGCAATCGCCCATGCTGGGCTGGGCTGAAGCTAGAAGCCAGAAGCTTATTCCAGATCTCCCATGTGGATACAGAGGCCCTAATACTTGGGCCATCCCCTCCACTGCCTTCCCAGGCCACAAGCAGGGAGAGAAATTAGAAGTAGAGCAGCTGGGACCTGAACACTCATTTATGTGGGATGCAGGCACTGCAAGGGGTGGGCTCACTTACTATGCCATGGTGCCAGCCTCTCTCAGTTTAGATTTTAACTCTCCAAGGGGGCTTCTGCAGTTGATCTTGGTTTGACCCAGAGAGGCAGGGTGGGTTCCCATGCTACAGATGGGGAGCAGTCCGAGAGGTGATGTGGCACATGGTGGAGGCTCCCTGGGTGTGGGTGGCAGAGCGTGTGGTCCCAACCTGGTGCTCCGTGTGACCTGTTATGTCCCTGCTTGCAGAACTCCTCTCACATGGACCGCCGCTCCATGCCTTCCGTGGGTTACATGACCCATACCGTCAGCGCCCCAAGTTTGCATGGCAAATCGGTAAGCAGTTCCTCATCTTCTCCTTCAGGCAGCAGACATGGGGCAGCTTACATGGAAGGGCCTTTCTCTCCCCCTGTCAGACGCAGTCCACAGGGCAGCCGTGAACCTGTTGACACTGCAGGACACTAATGCCCGCAGATGTCCCATGGTGTGTAGGGTCCCCAGGCTGACACAGGGTCTGTCCCAGATTCTAGAAGGGCTTGGGCGTGGAGAGCAGGATCGTTGAGGAGTACTGGGCCTGTGTTCCCTTTCCAAGCAGTATTTTCCCGGAAGCCTCTGTGTCTCCCTCCTCTTAGTGCTTCCCTTTTCTGCTTCAGTGGTTGGGTCTTGGATTGATTAACTCTGCATTCAAGGCCTGCAGCCCACTTGAGGCTGCACTGCTGGCCACTGCCTCCCTGACCAAAATGGCCTCCCACCAGCCCCGTTACTTGCCCCCATGACGGGGTGAATATGTGCAGGGTGAGCAGTGTGCTTGTGCCGGTGGTGTGACCCCATGGTGACCGACTTCCTCCCCGTGTGTCTGCGCACTCGCAGCTGGAGGAGCTCTCGCTGCTTCTCGCCCGGCTGCGGCGGCACCAGGCCAAGCTGGCCAGTGTGCGGAATTTCGCCGTGGGCCAATTACTGCAACACCAGCTGACCCTGCCCTCCTGCCAGGTCAGCGCCAGTGGGCTTACAGGACCGGGGCGGGGAGCCCTGTGGTCCCTTGTTCTTGTGCTCTGGTCTACACTCGCTTCCTTGTTGTCGTCTTCCTCCCCTGCCTGTCTGCTTCTGGCTGCTGTTGCCAGATGCTGTGGAGCTGGGGAGGGGCTGCATGGGGCTGGGAGCCCTGGCCTGTGGCTTGTGTGTGTGTGTGTGTGTGTGTGTGTGTGTGTGTGTGTGTGTGTGTGTGTGTGTGTGTGTGTGTGTGACTGCCAGGTTGGCTGTGCGGTCATGTCTAGAGGGCTATGGCAGCTGTTACGCCTGTGGCCACTATGGCCTCCCTGGGGATGCTGAGGACATGGGAAATGTTGAGCAGACTGGATGGACAAAGCAGGATATTCTCTCTTTTCCAGACAGTGCTCTGCTAGTTCATGGGAACCTGGGCAGAGTTAGGTAGGGATGGAACCATGATCACATGCAGGGCACACATCTGAAGCCTACAGACTGGAGCCAGAGTCAGGGCCTGCCTGCCTGGTGTTCTCGGTCATGACTAGGACCTTGGGCTGGGGAGAGCAGGTTTTAGGGAGGCTGGGAGACCTTGGGCAGTGTAGACTGATGTCCCAGTGGGTTTGTTGTCCTCAGGCAGGGAAGGTCCCTGTTGGTGACAAGGGTGACAGGACCGCCACTTCCTTCACTGTCTGTCCTGTGTTAGTGAGACCCAGGACACTCGGGAAGAGTGGACTGGTGCATGCCCATAAGGCATAAAGTTGGGTGATTTCTTGTAGTGTTCCTCGGCTCTGTGCTTCTTACTGTCGTGCAAAGAGTGGAGGGGCTGGGCCGGCTGAGTACATAGGCATGGGTTAGGGTATCCTTTAGAGACAGAAGTAAGTCCTTGCAAGCTACCAGGTGTCCCTGACAGTGGGCCACAGGCTTTCTGATGCCTAAAACCCTGCCTGCACTCCTGCTCCCAGAGTACATTTATGGGATTAGTTTGCATCAGAGCTGCAAGCACGCCCCCTGCCCTGCCCAGCCCCTTTGTCCATTGAGGGTGTGCTGCCTGGGCTGTCCTTATACTTCGGCAGCCCCTTCCTGTGCCCACTGGGTCTGTAACCTGCTCCACGAGGGAGCAGGGTTCTAGGAAATCTGGCTTTTCTTAGTTTTTGCTGTTGCTGGTGATGGCACAGAACTTGATGGACTGGCTGGGCTGTGCAGTGGATAGAGCTGATCCCAAACCTTTCTGCAGTAGCTCCTGAAATGGTCACTCTGGCACCATGCTAACCAAAAAAAAAAAAAAACAGCCAAAAGTCCAGGAACCCTCCAGCAACTGCTGGAACCCATTGTCACACTAGGACCTTTTGGGGCCCCCCCAACTCACCTTCCTGGGCTTTTCAAGCACCATCCATACCAATCGAGGCGTCCACCTTCATGCACATGAAGGGTGCCCCTCTCAAGGTGGAGCAGATATGAGGGCTGTTTCCAAGTGTACCTACTCATTCCATCTTCTGAGCCCAGCTGCATGGCTGCTACAGCTCCTCATAATTACCTGCCCTCCCCCTGCCCTGCCCAACTGATGCGAGGCCCAGCTGGCTTCCCCCACAGTGACCTGCAGGGTCTGCCATGCTGCCAAGGGCGCTAAGCTGTGCCAAGATAAGTGTGTCACCTCCGTGGCCCCGGTGATGTGTTGGTCTGCTGTCCCCAAGGCTGTGCAGTGTCGCTGAATCACACACAGAGCTCTGACTTCTGCAAACCCTGTGTGTTCCTAACAGTTTCCTGCCCTCCCCACTCTGCTTCTTTTAAAGGCTGATGATACCTACCTCCAGCTGAAGAAAGACCTGGAGTACCTGGATCTAAAGGTAAGTGAGGCCAGGGATCCTGCTTCCCCAGGGCACGTGCCCCTGGAGGGTGCTGCCCAAGGCCAGGCAGGGCAGGTGGATCCAGCTACCAGGTGAAGGCGTCTGCATTCTGAGCCAGAGCCATGCACTCTCTCACAGCCTCAAACTCTGACCTTTGCGGTGGCTCATGGATTACAATGCACCATCTCAAGTTCCTTCTTCTTGGGGTTGGAATCAGAAGTGACCAGTCCCATCGTAGGGGCCTCCAGTGGGGGTGGGGTATGTGGCTGGTTCAGCGTGTTGGACCACAATGACTTGGTGGACTCTGGTGCTGTTGCTCAGGGAGCAAAGTCCACTTGGGATGGCGTGGCTTTGAGCCTTGTCAGTAGCTTCTCACCTCCCCTTCCCATTAGGTCACAGCAAATGAACCCTGGGTCACCCCTGTAGCCAATAAGGCCCAAGATCCAAATCAGCCTTGGAAGCAGAGAGGGTCCAAGAAGCCTCATGTAGCAGCAAGAGGCTTTTTGCCTCAGAGAGCCACTGCCATTCCCTGATTGCAGCCATCTGCAGACACCCACTGTGAGAAGGCTTCCCTGTGAGCTGGCCCAAAGGAAGTGGCTGTGAGCAGGGGTGAGGGGCCGAGAGGCCTTCCTGCATCCCCAGGGATACGGATGGGCAGCAGGGCTCTGAGCTTTCTGCCCCAAGGCAGCAGCAGATGGAGAAGCTCCAGTCAGCCAGCTCAGTTAGGGAACTGTGGGACACTTGCATTGTCCCCAGCTCTACAGAAGCCATGGGCTGGGAGTTGGGAATGCCAGAGGAACACCAAGGCTCCCTAGTCTTTAGAAAGTTCCTTAAATAGTGCAGGCCGGGAAAGGAAGCAGCCCCAAATGACAGACATGCATGTTTATGCCAAGTCGGCTCAGCTCCCAGAGCTGTGATGATGGGAGGCAGTGTTGGTGAGAGCACCGGGATGGCTTCTGGGAGGAGGGGGCATGAGTGTCCAGCCTGGAAGAGCCGGAGGTCTGAGTTCAGTTGAAACTAAAGGGGGAGGGGAGGAACCCTGGGAGGCAAGGAGAGTCCAGACATGGCAGTGTAACTAGGGCCTTGGAGAGAAGGTGGAGGTGGGTCACGGAGGCCCCAATTCTACTTTAGGGATCAGGAAGGGAGCAAAACGGCACACCTGGCTTTAGCATGTGAGGTAGATGAAGAGGTTATCTCAGGGTCTAGATGTCTTCCAGCTTGCTTGTTAGCCAAGTAACACAGCTTAAGTGGATAATGGGAGGTAATGAGACTGCAGGACTCGGGACTCCCCCATGGCTGGGTGGCCCAGTCCGCCCTGCTGCATCCTACAGGGACAGGCAAGTCCTCTTCACCCCCCCATGGAGAGAAGAAACCCATGCTCTTCAAGACCTTGGAATATTGCTTTCTCTGCTGCAGACCCCAAGCCATGTACTTCCTGGGGGCATGCTTGGGTGGGCTGGAGACAGGCTGGAGACAGGCTGCATCTGACCAGCGAGGTGCTGTGTGTGCACTCAGAATTTTTTTTTTGTGGAATTAGTCGCTGTGTCTCATGGAAAATAGCTATGTCGGCTGCAAAATGTCACTGCTACTTAAGCCATGCTTGCAGGCTGGTCTCCCGCACAGGCTAGGCACACCTGCATCACACAGGAGCATAGGTGTTGCACTGTATGTGTGTGTATGTGTGTGTCACAGTTCTGATACACCTGCCAGCAGTGAGGAGGCCTGCTCTGCCCTGCTTGGACCCAGCTGAGATGCAGGCTTCCCTCATGGGTGTCCTACTTCAGGGTCCAAAACAGGGGTGGGCTGGAACCAGCTCAGGTGTGTTGGAGGCTGGTAGACCCATGGCTTACATGTATCCACTACCCAAATCTACCTGCTAAATCAAAGGAGAGCAGGCCGCTTTCCAGTGCCAGAAGCTACATTCTTGGGGCTCAGGCCACATGGTCACTGTTCTACTTCCCTGGGTGTGCCACCTTCTGCTGCTGCCTTTCCTGCAGAACAAACATTGTCCCCTATTCTCCCCAGCATCCCTGTGCCAGGAGGGAAGAGTCCCCTAGTGAGGAGCAGGTTGCAGGGAGTAAAGAAACCCAAACCAGGTAATGAAGCTCCATGAGAGAAGATTGAAGGAGCCAAGGACAGGTCAGGAGAGGCGGAGACTGTCCAGCTGTGGTGTGTGGCCCACAGGGAGGGTAAGGCAGGTGGATGGCTGTCTCAAGCAGAGAGCTTTCAGTGTAGTGCAAGAAACACAACCCTTCCTTCTCCCCTTCCTTCCTTCCTTCCTTTTGTTTATTTGAAAGTTAGAGACAGAGATATCTTCCATTGGCTGGTTCATTCACTAAATGGTCACAGTGACCAATGCTGGTTGTTTCAAAGCCAAGGGCCTCTTCCAGGTCTCCTATCTCTCCCTTGGGTGCAGGAGTTGAAGTACTTGAGCCATTCTCCACTGCTTTTCCAGGTGCCTCAGTAGAGAGCTGGATCAGATGTGGAGCAGTCAGGGATAGAACTGGTATCCATAAAGATGCCAGTGTTACTTGCTACGCCACCGAGCTGGACCCAAAGGCTTTTCTGGTAGGACCCCAGGTGTGGTAAACTGCCTGTCTCAGTGTACCAGTGAGGCAAATGATAGTGATCTGAAAAGAGGGCCTCTGGACATGATTGAGTGCAGATCTAGATCCTGTGGACCACTGTGGGAGTAGAAGCAGAGCCAAGCATAGTCCCTCTGGGGCCACCTGCTGGCAAGAGTTCACTTCTGAGTCCTTGCATCTGAAGATGGAACATGTCCTCACCTGGCATCTGATCTGCTGACCCCTGCCATGTTGACTTGGGGTTCTCCATGTCCCTGTCCCAAGGGCCAAGGGCTTAAGGATCCAGAGCCCATCTTCCCATCTGATCAACTGGCTCAGCTTCCAGAATCAGTGAAGATTACTTCCCAATGTGGAACTTTTTCTCTGTGAGGAAGCATTCCTTCCTTGGTTCCCAGCAATCATACCCAGGCACCTGTCAGTCTCTTAGAAATTGCCTTGCCTAATGTGTATTTGGGAAACAAGTTTGCTTCTCTGGAGTTTTCCTTGGTGGTGCCAGAGTACAAAGGGTTCCATGTGGATTCAGCTTCTGTTCCTGCCTGGAAGCACCTGGGCACTTGACGTGCATTTGTCTCCTTCGACCCTCCCAGCAACCCCGAGCAGTAGAAACTATTTTCCCTGACTTAGAGACCAGGTACCCAAGAATCAGAGAAGTGACCTCTGCAATGTTACTCACCTGGGATTTGAACCAGAGACCACCTTCACACCTGCCTTGCTCCACATACCAGTGCTTTGCCCTACCCTGAACTTGTGTTCATGGTGTCGCGTTCCCCGGCGTGGAAGCTGCACGCCAGCAGACTCAGAAGGGTGGGGTGTGGAGTTTACTGCTGCTGACCACCTGAGCTGTGTTTATATAGCTGGGGAGCATACCTGGGGGCATGAGGTGGACGAGGGCATCTGTGATGCCAAGGCTCAGGTGATGTCTTGGGAGATGGAGAAGGCAGTGGTCATCTCTGGAGAATCACGTGGCAGCTCTAGGTCCATGGAGCTCTGAATCTTGCTGATTATTTGAATCTAAAGTCAGGGATTCTGTGTCCATTGTCAGTTTCCTAAGTCAGCTTCTGGAGCTGGGACTGACAGTTTGTGACCTGGGAACCCACATCCTATAGGATCACATAGGAATTTTTTTTTAATGCAGATCTGGAGTTCCCTATTGAGTTAGAATCTGTGGTGCCCAGAATTTTGCCTCTTTGTCAAGCAATAAGGTAATTTTTGTGCAAAATTTGAGGTCTGTGAATTGGAGATGAACCCTGAACTACTGGGGAACTTTTAAAATAAATATAGATGCTTATTTTTTTTTTTAGCACTTAGAAGCTGTGATTCAATTGGTCATATTCAGGTATTATTCTTAAAGCAACAAGAGCAAGGGCCTTGGACGTTCCCAGTCTGCAACCAGGTTTAGAAACATTGTTTTGGGGATTGGTGTGATGGCACAGCCAGTTAAGCCACCCTATGCAGTTCCAGCATCCTATATGGGTGCTGGTTCAGATACTGACCACTCCACTTCTGATACAGCTTCTTGCTAATGTACCTAGGAAAGCAGCAGAAGATGGCCCGAGTGGGCTGCTGCCACCCGTGTGGGAGATAGGATGGAATTTCTGGCTTCTGGCTAGTGCCTGGCCAGCCCCAGCCTTTGTAGCCATCTGGAAAGGTGAACCAGCAAATAAAAGGTTCATTCTTTGTGTCTCTCTACCTCTCTCTCCTTCTTTTCTCCTCTTCCTTTCACCCTCACCCTGCCTTTCAAATAAATATTTTTGTAAGAATTATTTTGATTCTCAGATGTGGTCCCCAGACCAGGAACATCTGCAAAAGCAAGAAATTTGTTAGAAATGCAAAATCTTGGGTCTCACACCAGACCTGTTCAGTGGGAACTTTGAGAGGTAGATCCCATTTTGTTAATCCTGATACCTGCTACAGTGTGAGACCCTCTGTGTGGAGCAGCTATTCACCTTCCTGGCACCTGTTAGAATCACCCATTGGGGCTTTAAAACACTAATGCCCATCCCAGGCCAATTACAGCAGAATCTCTTTGAGTGGGACTCGGGCATACCAGATGACTCAGGTATCCAGCCAAGGGTTAACTCTGCTGTCCTAGAGGGTGGAGGCTGTGGTCCCTGAAGGAGTTGGAAGCATCTGAAACCAGTGCTAAGATGTCATCATTGAGGTACACTGCAGGTGTTGGAGATGCAGAGAACCTGGGGTGAAAGAGACGGTGGGCAGGAGTGAGGAGGGGCATGGCCCCACTCTGCACTCAAGAGAGCACCAACCAGGAAGCAAAGCTCTCCTCTGTGATGCCGCCTGGGCCCCTGAAGCAGAGCCAGGAAAGAAGCAGGTACTGAGGTTGGCACCCGCACAAAAGCCAGCCTGTGCATAGTGCCCATGGGACCTAGGAGGGCAGTGAAGGTCATGAAGGTGCTGGCCACTGCGAGGCAGCATCACCAGGTTTCAGACGGGTTGTCTGAAGTGCTCATTCCATGTTTTCCTCCTGGCACCCCCCATCCCCTGTCCCCCATCAGTTACCCAGATTCTGGCTGCTTCAAGTGTCGTTTACTGTCTCACCTGTTACATTTTGTTGTATCTGCCTTTTTTGTCTGGAACAGATTAAAAATAATGAGCCTTTGATCAACGTGCTTTACAAAGTGCTGAAGAAGTCAGCACGGGGCTGTCGGCCCAGGAGGAGCGTAAGATGATCTGATCCGGGTCTCGGAGCGGGCCATTCCATTGCTTCTGGCTCAGTGCCGACTCCATCACTTGCTTAACCAGTCGCTCTCCTGACCGTCCCAGGCTTCCCGCAAGTCATTTTGATTTTTTTTCCTTCCACTGATGCTCTCCCTGGCATTCCAGCCAATGCAGCAGGCCAAGCCCCTCATCTGTGGCATCCTGTGACTCCATCTCTCTGTGCTGCCAAGGGGTGGGAGCGCTTGCCTGGCTTGCCAACGGCTCATGTCGTGTGTCCATTGTGCTTGTCTGCTTCCATGACCAGGAATTACCAGACAGAGCTGAGCGTGAGCTGGGAAGGGGTGGCTGTTACTAGTTACCTTGGATCCCACTAGGGTTCTGGGATTCAGGTGGCTTTGTCTTGGGACAGGATGTGGATGTCTCTGGACTAGACCAAAACAGTCCCCTCCCCAAATCAATGGATGTCCCCCACCTCCACCCCGCCTTGTGACAGAGATGTTGGGGGCAACTCACCCACCATGTTTTAAACATTGCTATCCAAAGAGCACAATTCTGAAAGGAAATTTTGGTGGCGTCATCTTGCTGGAGCTACTTGAAGTCACAGGAGCCTCAGCTCTCTGGAGCTCAGCAGCTACATGAACAGCATCCCACAGTCTGGTCCTAACACCTGAGGCCTTCACTCTGTGGGAAACAGAGCCAAGCCCCCTTAGTCTCAACTGCTCACAAACTGCTGGGGCAAGTATTTGCCAAACAACCTCAAGGTGCAAGGCCCTGGCCAGGCTGGGAGGTCGTTATTGTCTGTCCACTGTCCCTGAGGGAGGTGACTGCTGGGGGTGAGCGGAGTAGATGACACACATGACCTTTCTGAGCCCACGGCTGACTTACACGTGGGAGGAACATGCTGATGGGCAGTTCAAGAGAGCTAAGTCAGCATCTGGTCTCGGAACTCTCAGTGCTTCTGATGCCCAACAGCACATTGAAGGGAACCAGAGGAAGTCTTAGAAGAGAGGGAGTGATAATATCCTTGGGAAGAGAGAGAGGAGGGGTGTACATGCAGTATCCTACGGAGGCAGTGAAGGGCGTAATTTAGAAAGCTTGCCACCAGAACAGTTCAGTGATTCAGTTTTCTCCAATGGAGCTTTTTTGTCTTTATGCATGGAGTATGGAGCATCTCACTTCTTTTCTGATGTTGCTGGATAAATGGGGCATTGCTCAAGTAGATTTCCGGCTTTATTGTTTAAGTATCAAAGAGATAATCGGCTATAAAAAGCTTTAGTGAACTGCAGGGAACATTTCACTGACAGACAAAATCCTTAAAGCATATCTTAGTTTGTAAGCAGTTCTATCCAAGCAGTGAGTCCAGGATCAGCCCTCCTGCAGAGGGGACGAGCGCCTTGTTCTCCCCTTGGATGTGAGCACCACGAGGGCTTCACTGCTTTTCCCTGCCTTCTCCTCTGGGTTGCCCTGAGTTGAAAGCCCAGGTCCCACCTGGGCAGCTCAGCTGTGTGTGGTTCACCAGGGTGAATTCCATGCTCTTTCCTCACCTCCCTCATCTCTCGTGGTATGGGACAGCACAGAAGTGTCCGTGGATTGTCGTGGGAGCCCGTGTGTCCTGTACTGTGTGTATGCTTATATGTACACATCACCTGCTGGTTGGAAGAGCAGAATTTGGCTGGAGTTCTGATTTCTTCGGGAACCCTCCTCCCCAGACCCAAGGGTGTTTCCCCTTGACCCATGGGCAGTTCAGTAAACATTTATGGAATGCCTTCCCTTATGCAGGCCTTGGGTTCAGGACCAAGATCAGTAAGACCGTGACCCCAGCCCTCTACTGTGGGACCACAGGAAGTATGGGGAGTGGTGGGGCATGTCTGAAGCCCCAAATCAGTCATCAGCCCAGGTGTGGAGAGGCCATACTCCCTGACCTTTGGCCTTTGGTTTTGCTCATGTGCTGATTCACAAAGAGAAGGAATATGAGCATATGGTTGGTTTGAGCTGTGAGGTGGATGTCTGCCAATAGCCTTTCGTCCCAGATTCATGTTCACAGATGTGCGGGGCCTTCTAAATGGAGTAAGGGAGGGAGTGCACAGACTCTGGCTGCGCCTCCTAGACCCTCTGCAGAGCATGGACACCACCTGTCTTGGCTATGGAGGTCAGGGAAATGGAGTGCCCTATAGACCTGGCCACGCCTGACCTTCACTCGGCCATTAGGGTGAGCTGTTAAAAAGTGACCCCCCTTTACCTCCACACAGCTTTTAGTAAGAGGCAGATTTAGGGGAAGTGAGCCTATAGAATGGACAGTTTGGTTTAGCCACTTAGGAGTCAGTGTGAGATGGACAAATTGTCCACCCTGGTCAGGTGAAGGATGGGAAATGTGAAGTTCATTGGCCCCTAAGTTTGGATGACTTGTCTGTTGCTTTGTGGTTTTTTTTTCTTGAGAAGACACAGTAACTTATGACTTACGTAAGTACGTACCGGCTTCAGCAATTTAAGAATCCAGTAAAAACCCTGCAAGTCTTCTCCCCTTGGTCAGGACCTCTCCCTAGAAGGGTGGGGGGAGGGAGGAGGGCTCCTCCAGGGAAAGTGGGCTGCTCGGAGTTGGCCTGCAGGTCCACCCGCTCCCCCTGGGCAGCAGTGATGGACTTCTGTGATCTGTGCTTGTCCCCAGGTTCAGGAGCTCACCTCTATCCTATCAGCGGCAAATCTCCCAAGATTCATGCTGGTTTCTCACACTCACTCTGAGTAAATAACATTCTTCCCAAACTGATGGCCCTGTAGATTGAACGTCTGCATTTTCTTTAACTCGAGACACTTACAAGTGCTCCTAGGATCACAGAAAGGTATCGGTTTTACCTTGAAATGGAAATCAGCAAGGAAAGAAAGCAGCTACTGCTCGCCTTTTTGCCCCTTCTGTGCCATGCTCCTACCTGGCACTGCTGGGGCATGCACCCATCGTAGAGCTTCCCATGTCCTGACCCTCAACACTGTGACTAAATCCCCTTCACATTGTTCACCTCCCAGATGACAGGCCGGGACCTTGTCAAGGATCGGAGTCTAAAGCCCATGAAGATCGCTGAGAGTGACATTGATGTGAGTAAGCAGGGTGGCAGGCTGGGACCCCAATCGTCACCCCCAACCCAGACCCAGGGCGGGCAGCTTCTGACAGGCCCCAGTGCTGCTCTGGCCAGAGCCTTTCCCGTCGCACACCCGAAGCAACCTCTCAGCTCCTCTCCAACCTTTCCCGCCTCCAGGTGAAGCTGAGTGTCTTCTGTGAACAAGACAGGATCCTCCAGGACTTGGAAGACAAGATCCGGGCTCTCAAGGAGAATAAAGTGCGCTTCAGTGTGGCAAGAGCGTAGCGCAGATGGGGATGTCTTGTCTGCTTTCCTAAGACACAGGCTGGTTTTGAGTTAGCATTGGACAGCCTGGGGTAGTTTATGTAGGACAGTGTCGCTGGGTTTAAAAGGTACTCCTGGAGATCTAGGGACCACCTGCCCATTTGTGTGAAGCTCCACCCTCAGCCCGCCCTCTGGCCCATCTCTCCTGAGAGGCCCTTGTATGATGCCCTCCAGGCCGCCGGACCCAAGGAGCCTGGCTGCCTGTAGATGTGCCTACAGCTGTAACCAGCTCAGCTCCCAAAACTCCTTCCTCCTGGACCTGGGCCTTGGAGGCAGCACATCTGGATGGGAAGCAGGACAGCAGGAACAGCCTTTGGGCCACCAGTGCTTGCTTTCTTTGCTCTTTTTGTATTTCAGCAAGGCTGTGTTGCTGAAGAAGTATAGTCTGTCCCTTTCTTCCAAGGGCCTAGAGCGTTTTCCTCCCACTCAGTGGTTTGTCCTCATCTTTTACTGGCTGTGGATTTAGGTGGGGGTGTGAGGCTGAGCTGTTAGGTGACTTGTCCTGTGAGTTAAGTCAGAATTGGCTTCAGAGCGCCTTCCCCCTCAACTCCAGCTTGTCTCTGGTCCTCCCCACCTTGGTCAGGTCCAGCGGCTTTGTTGGCTTCATGCGGGGTAGAGGGAGGCCTCTGGTCCCAGCCTGTTCCTCTTGGGGCTTCCCCGGTGCAGGACCAGCTGGAGTCGGTGCTGGAGGTGTTACACCGGCAGATGGAGCAGTACCGAGACCAGCCCCAGCATCTGGAAAAGATTGCCTACCAGCAGAGGTTACTGCAGGAGGACCTTGTCCACATCCGAGCTGAGCTCTCCCGGGAGTCCACGGTGCGTAAAGAGTGCAGAGGGCTCAGGCACTGCCCCTCCCAGATGGGCTGGACAGGCGACTACTTGGCTCATTGCCCAAGCCACAGCTGACCTGGCAGCCGAGCACAGGAGTCTCAGAAGAGCGAGGCTCCTCCAGGCCACGTCCTGATAGTGGCTTGTCCAGAGCGGCCATGGCTGTCTCCATCCAAGCTGATGATACCCAAGGGACCAGATTTCTCAGAACAGCCTATAGGTCTGTTCCCCTGATCTCTGCAGGTTGTTCTAAGCTGTCAGAATGTCCAGTTGTTCATTTGTCAATCTGATGGTGTGCAGGTGGCCAGAGTACCAATGAGCAGATCCTGTATTCTTTCCCCTCCTCTGTTCCTGGGTCTCTTCTTCCTCTTCCTCCTCTTCCTCTCCTGCATCCCTTCCATCCCCTCACCCCTACCCCTTCTCTCCCCTTCCCCTGGCTGGGTCAGCAGTGGTCAGCAGCATAGGTGCCCAGGAGGTGTCCTGCAGGCAGGGACCCAGCAGCGTTTACTTGCCCAACAGGAGATGGAGAATGCCTGGAACGAATACCTGAAGCTGGAGCGTGATGTGGAGCAGCTGAAACAGGCCCTGCAGGAGCAGCACAGAAAAGCCTTCTTCTTCCAGGTGACTTAGCTCTTCCCACCTCCACAGCTCGGAGGCTTTCTCTGCCGGGGCCTTCTCTCCCTCGGCCTGAACCCTCCAGCTCTATAAAGAGGACACCCCAAGCTCTTCCATGGGGCCACACTGAAGAAGGGGCCTTACCCAACTCCTGCTGCCTCTCTGCTCTACAAGTTTGGGGGCCAATGTACTTCTGATCAGGCACCAATCCCAAGTGCCTTACAGGGTATCCAGAGGGCTCAGTACGCCTGGGAGTCTTGGCTCCAGCTTGGGCTCCCTGCTCATCACTCACAAGGCAGCAGCAGCCCCCAACTACCTGCCCTCCTGCGGTTACCAAAGGCGAATGCTATCAGGTGCTTCCCTGCTAGGTGGAGGGAGGTCGGTCCAGCCAGGCCCCTGTGGTCTCCAGGGTCATTGTATTGCTGGGCCCTTTACCAGGCTGGGTGATGAACAGCCTCCTCCCACTGAAAGCTTCCTCTCCCCAAAAGGTGAGATAATGGCAGCACCTGTGGAGTTTCTCTTACAGATTGGGTTCCCCAGCCTCCCAGTATTCATTACTCCATCGGGGTAGCCAGCCAGTCTTGCACCCAGTGGCTTGAAAACACTCGGTGCATATTGTCAGCCTAATTGTTCAAGCTATCCATTGTCAGTACCAGCTCCCAAACCATCTCCTCCTGTTATGCCTAATTTCTTGGACTCTAGTGATCTGTGTGAATTTTAGCAGTAGATTTTTTGTTTTGTTTTTCGTTTTTGTTTTTTAGATTTTTGTTTTATCTATTCATTCTTCACATTTCTGTAATGATGTGAATAATATATGAACACCTCTCTAAATAGTCCAGTGAGAAGCATCTACACAAAACATCGAAGTTCTTCTTTCCTATCTGCCCCCATCCCCCACATCTGTATAGAATCAGTACTTGCAGTCTGCGATGTTCTCATCCACGCCATGTTCATGGGTTCTGAAAGTAAGCACTCACACAGAGTTGTATCATGTATCAAAGTGGGAGCAGGTGCAGGGCTTGCTTAAAGAGGTTCACACACATTGTTTTATAACTTAGTTTCTTTAAAAAAGATTTATTTATTTGAAAGGCAGAGTCATGGACATCTTTCATCTACTGGTTTATTCTGCAAATGGCCACAGTGGCTGGGTCTGGGCCAGGCGGAAGCCAGGAGCCAGGGACTCCGTCCAGGTCTTCCACACAGCTAGCAGGAGTCCAAACACTTGGAGCGCCTTCTGCTGCTTTCCCAGACACGTTAGCCGGCATGGATCGCAAGTGGCAGAGCCGGGACTCTGTGTTCCCGTATGAGATGCTGCTGCCATATGCCCAGGCTTCAACTGCTCACTTTCTTTTTGGATCATGACTTCCTGTTGTGGAAATCCTTCCAGAAAAGATTCCTCTCCTCTCCCTCCACTTCCCCCATTCATGCTACCTAACACAGTGACTGTTTAAATACAACTTAAAACTAAAATGTAAGGGCTGGTGCTGTGGCGTAGTAGATTAAGCTTCCACCTGTGGCGTTGGCATTTCACATGGGCACCGGTTTGTGTTCCAGCTGCTGCACTTCCAGTCCAGCTCCTGGGAAGGCAACAGAGGGTGCCCCAAGTCCTTGGGCTTCTACACCCAGTGGGAGACTCAGATGAAATTCCTGGCTTCGGGTTAGCTGAGCTCTGTTCATTGTAGTCATTTCAGAAGTGAACCCATCAATGGAAGTTTCCTTCTCTCTCTGTCTCTACTTGTTTCTATAACTCTGCCTTTCAAATCAAAATAAATCTTTAGAATGCTAAAATTTAAAAGGTGATCCTCTCGTCCACCAGACGCACTGCAGGTATATGCTAGCCACATGCACTTGGTGGCTCCTGTGTCAAACGTCCCACATTATACAAAATGTCCGTAACCCCAGAGCTGGACAGCACCAGCCTGTCAATTAAGTTCAATTAATTCTCTGCTGCTATGTACATTTTAAAAATATTTATTTATTCATTTGAAAGGCAGAGGGAGAGAGAGATCTTCCATCTACTGGTTGACTTCTTAGCTGGCCACAGTGGCCAAAGCTAGACTGGGCCAAAGCCAGGAGCTACCTGTAACCCCTGGGTCTCCCATGTGGGTACAGGGGCCCAAGGACCCAAGCCATTGTTCATGCTATCAGGCATGCTTCCCAGGCATGCTGTCAGGGAGCTGGATCAGAAGTAGAGCAACTGGGACCCCAACAGATGTCCATATGGGATGCTGATGCTGCAAATGCTGGCTTCAACCACTATGTCACCGTGCCACCCCAACTACGTACTGTGTCATAGTCTGGTTATTCCCCGATTTATTTAATCATTTCTCTTCATGGACGTTTAAGTTGTATCTCCACGTGTGACTTTGGTAAATGCTGCTGGAGTGAGCATCCAGGTAGCTGCTTTTTCAAACCTTGAGAAGCATTTATTCAAGGTTGGCTTCGAGGAGGGACTCAGGGTTGAAATGGGTTCAGAGATGACAGCTACTACCAGATCCTTCAAGAAGGGTAAACTGATTGATCCTCCCTCCCCAGTGAGTGGGAGGGCTGGCCCTGTTTGCCCACACTCTTACCAGCCATTAATACCACCAATCTTTTTTTTTTAAGATTTATTTATTTTTATTGGAAAGACAGATTTACAGAGAGAAGGAAAGACAAAGAAAAAGATCTTCCATCTACTGGTTTATTCCCAAAGTGGCCACAATGGCCAGTGCTGAGCTGATCTGAAACCAGGAGTCAGGCGCTTCTTCCAGGTCTCTCACGTGGGTGTAGGATCCCAAGGCTTTGGGCCATCCTCTACTGCTCTCCCAGGCCACAAGCAAGGAGCTGGATGGGAAGTGTAGCATCCAGGACACGAACCAGAGCCCATACAGGATCATGGTGGATGCAAGGCAAGGATTTAGCCACTAGGTTATGATGCTGGGCCCATGCCACCAGTCTGTTAGTTCTTGCCAGTTTCCTGGCTTATAAGTAACATCCAGGTTTAATGTGCATTGATTTAATGATTAGTGCCTAAACATCTTGCCAAATACTAGTGGCCACTTGTACTCCCACTGTGTCTTATTTCATGGAGCTTTAATGTGCAGTAAGCCCAGTGTGCCAAAATGCACATGGCACTGTCATAGGTCCTGCCACAGTGTCACTGGAGGACTGAGCCTGGCACCTGTCAGTTGACTAGCATAGAGGCTGGCCCAGAGCCAGGAGTCTGGGGCTGGATTCCTGCCTAGCCGTAGGCACTGCTCACCTGTTTCCGAGTGCTCAGTGCCCTGGGAAGTGACAGAGCCGTGCTTGGAGCCATCTGTACTACATCTTAAATAGTCCTAGGCCAGGCATGCTGGTTGAGCCCCGTTGCATCATGAACCCTTTACTGCATTCGTGGGCCCACGCGCAGCCTCTCTGTCCCAGGACTTGGCAGCTCAGCTCCCTATGGCCAAGGTCAGTGGTGAGAAAATCAGTCCTTTTTTACTAAACTAGGGTGGCTTTACTTCCCAAGAATCTTGTAACCCCTGGGCGCCCAGGAAGCCATGTAAGAGGTAGAGGTAGAACAGGACACTGATGGGCATTTGTGTTCTGCTGTCTGGACAGGCTGTGTAGGCCTGTGCTGATGCCAGCAGGTGGGAGCCTCCCTGCCCGTGTGGTATGAGGGTACAAGAAGGAAACCCCCCCTGTGTGCCCTCCTCAGCTGCCCTTGACTCATCACGGAGCTCTGGGGTCCCTTCCCCTGTGGGAAGGCAGGGGCGTGGAGACAGGTCTTGACACTCTTCTCTTACTCATGGGAGCATTAGAGGAACACACCACAGCAGGAGTGGGAGTGCTCTGGAGGTGGGTTAGGGCCGGCACACGTGACGGTCCCCTCTCGTCCATCTCTGGCAGCCCCTGTTCAGGTCCATGTCTGTGGAGCTGATTGCCCAAGATAGCCCATCTAAGTGGATTCCTTCAGTCGGGTCATGCAAAATGTGCATGGTAAAAAATGCTGCATGGATTCTTTTTTTTTTTTTTTTTAAGATTGTTTGAAAGGCAGAGTTAGAGAGATGTCGATTTTCCTGATTGGGCCTGGCTAAGCTGAGAGCCAGGAACTCCATCCAGGTCTCCCACATGGGTGACAGGAGTCTAAGCACTTAGGCCATCTTCTGCTGTCTATTCCGGCACATTAGCAGGGAGCAGAGCAGCCAGCACTTGACCCTGGACTCTTATGGGATGTCAGCATGGCAGACAGCAGCTTAACCGGCTGTTCCACAATGCCAGGGCCTATACATGAATTAAAAAAGATAAAGGAACAGGGTCTGGCACGGTGGGCTAGTGGCTAAAGTCCTTGGCTTGAACACGCTGGGATCCCATATGGGCACCGGTTCTAATCCCGGCAGCTCCACTTCCCATCCAGTTCCCTGCCTGTGGCCTGGGAAAGCAATCGAGGACGGCCCAAAGCTTTGGGACCCTGCACCGGCATGGGAGACCTGGAAGAAGTTCCTGGTTCCTGGCACAGATCGGTGCAGCTCGAGCCATTGTGGTCACTTGGGGAGTGAATCATCGGATGGAAGATCTTTCTACCTCTCTTTCTCTCTGTATATCTGACTTTGCAATAAAAATGAATACATTTTTTAAACAGGGAGTAGAAACAGCCACCTTCATAGGTGATAGCCACTCTGAAATTCTTGCCAAGACCATGGTCTTATCCTGCCTGTACTTACCCACGTGTACTTTCTGAAGGGAATGTTGCCCTAGGCAAGGATTTGTTGGGAAATGCTAGGATAGGGGCTCAGAAGAAACTTCTGGCTGGCTACCATGAAACCAATGGACCATCCACCTGTCTTCCTCAGGAGAAATCACAGATCCAGAAAGATCTGTGGAGGATTGAAGATGTCCTTGCAGGTCTGAGTGCAAATAAAGAGAACTTCAGAATCCTGGTGGAATCGGTCAAAAACCCGGGTGAGTGTGATCACTTCCCTGCCTGGGGAAGTCCTCTGGTGAAGGAGCTGTCTGTTTTACACCGTCTTTGCTTCCCTCTTGCCCCTTAGAGAGGAAAACGGTGCCTTTGTTCCCTCACCCGCCTGTGCCTTCACTCTCGGCTGCACCTGCAGAGAGCAAGCCGACCCCGCAGCCCAGCCCTCCCTCCAGCCCCGTGCGGACCCCTCTGGAGGTGCGACTCTTCCCCCAGCTGCAAACCTACGTGCCCTACCGACCTCACCCGCCCCAGCTGAGGAAAGTGACGTCGCCCTTGCAGTCCCCCACCAAGACCAAGGCCGGCAATGGCGTTGTGAGTATCCAGGTACCTCTGGAAGGCTTGGGTCAGGAAAGGGAGATGATTGGAGTCGGGAGTGGCTAAGGAGCCTGAGTATGCTTTGCCTGCCGCCGCTGCTGTGCCCAGTCCCTCAGGACTGGGTACACACTGAGGGATGACTCAGCCAAAAACCTCCCATTTTGCAGTGGGGAGAATTGGAGCCCAGCGAGAAGTGACTGTGCTGGGTGATGGGGTGGAATTTGTGACTGCCGTGCAGAAATGTCCGTGGCTGTGGGTGAGGCCGTCCCCGTGCAGGGCTCTGTGCAAACCTGCCAAGGGCTCTCCTGCAGCCACAGAGTGTGCAGGCAGTGAGGAAATTCCAAGAGTGTCCATGCCCCACCCTGTGCTTGCTGTGACAACCACTTGTGATCTGTGCCAGACCCTACCATGGTGCATGGATATGGAGGGCAGGGCCCCTGATCCCACAGACGGAAGCATGGAACCCCAAGTTCTTGACATTTGCTGAGGGCCTCAGGGTTGGGGAATCCAGCCACAGCCTGTGGGCCATCTCCACTTGGAGCCCATGCCCTTTACTGCCTACTTAGACCCTCCACCCCAGGTCACATCTGTGGCCCAAGAGCTTGTCAGGGCCCCATACACCTTGGCTTGCCTGGCACTGAGAGGCACAATCTGGTCACACAGGAGACTTTGAGGACCTGGAAGCTTTGGTGAGGAAACGTGCTAGCTCCTGTCCCCAAGCTGGAGGACGTAAGGGGTCTGGCCCAAGTACGTGGCTGAGGGCACCTGGAGGTGGGTTTCTGCAGGGCTTTGGGGAGCTTTGCCCGGGCACCACCTGGATGCGGGATCTCTGTTAAGGCCGGTGAGTTCATGTATTAGACCTTGCCATCCACCTGCTTCCAGCCAGGGCCCAGGGCTCAGAGCTGGAGGATCTCAGCGCTCTTCTCGGCCCTGCTTCAGAACAGCAAACCGGAACCTCGCCGTAGCACAGGAGGGGCAGGCACGGGCAGACAGCTGCTGAGGCAGGGCAGGGTGCCCGCCAGTGGGCAAGTGGGCCAGTTGAGGAAAGGGAGAACATGTTAGCTGAGCACCCGGATTCCAGCCTTGGCGTTCTCACTGTGCCCTCAGGCAGGTCCCCTCGCCAGCTTTCCTTTGCACAGACCATCCTCACACAGCCTGGCCCCCCAGGACTCTCGGGCAGAACCTTCTGAACTTGGTATGGAGTCAGGGTCCCGTGTGGTTCTCTGCCTCGCCCTTGCTGGCAGTACCTGTGAGATGACCAGTTGTACCATTCTGTGGAGCTGGAAGCCGGATTTGAGTGTTGATAGCTGTGAGACAGTAGCGCCCACCCTGGAAAAGGACAGAGGACAGTAATTTAACAAATGATAATAAAGGGTCCCACCTGTGTTACACCAACACAAGTAGGGTTTTGCCAGCTGCCACAAGCAAGGAGCTGGATCGGAAGTAGAGCTGCCAGGACTCAAACCGCACCCAGATGGGGTGTCGGCTCTGCAGGCAGAGGCTTAGTGTGCGGTGTCACCAGGCCAGCCCCCTTCCACCTCTGCCGATACAGAGGACTGTAGTCCTTCTTCAGCTTGCATCTTTTCTTCCACATTCTTTTTTGAGATTCGCCTATGCTGTTGCAAGCTGTTGACTTGTCTTCTTGAATTTAATGTCATCTTTTATTAGGTAATAGTCTCACACATATGTACATAATAAGATGCCTCCCTCCTTCCCTCTGTCATTCCATTTCCTGCCTTTGGAGACAATCCATCTAATTCGCTTGGCTGGTGGTGAGGCCAAAGTCCTGTCGGCCTCTCCTGGGCCCTGGGTGCCGCAGGCAGGTGCTTCATTGTCCCATCTCAGTGGAGTGTACTGTTTCCTTAAAAAATGCTGATCAAACTTGGCCTGCCTTTGAGCAAGATTCTGAAAGCAAAGCCGTATTAGACTGGAGGAGGAGAGCTAAGCGGGAGGGGGTACAGTGCCCCTCCCTGGGGTGGGGGCGATTTGTGGCAGCCAGGGGAAGGTGCCTGACTCTTGCTGTGGAAATGACATGCAGGCTTCCAGGAGCCTTGTGGACGGGGATTCAGGGGAAAGCAGCTCCGTGACCGCATGCCAGGGAGCAGGCCGCATGGCAGCTGTGAGTCACTCGTCCTGGCCGCCTCTGCTGGCGGCGTCAGGAAGGAGGAAATGTGTTGTCACCAAGCACATTCCGATCAGAAGGGCAGGAGGAGGCGGATGCTGCCACAGGAGCCAGTGCGCCGGGCCAGGGGCCCCCGCGTCTGAGTGCATGGAGTGGGAGAGATGGCTGTTCTATGTGTGTGTGTGTGGGGGTGTACCCGCTTAGAAATCAGCACAGTGAGCAGCCCTCCAACCCCCGCCCCTGCTTTGCACCAAGTAAGGGGAGCAGGTGGCTTTCTTCAGTGCCAAGAGCACAGACCCAGAAGGCCTGGGTCCTGGATTTGGGAACACTGGATATATAGGTAGCACTTGGGAAATTTTTATTTATTTGAAAAGCAAAGTTATAGAGAGAAAGAGATACAGGGACAGAAATCCATGTTCCACCTTCTGGTTCATTCCCCAGCAACAGCCAGGGCTAGGCCAGGCAGAAGTCAAAAGCCAGATGTTTCTTCCAGCTCTCCCCTGTGGGCAACAGGGGCCCAACCACTTGAGCCACCTTCTGCTACTTCCCCAGGTGCATTACGGAATGGGTATGGAATGCCAAGTTGTAGGTGGCGGTTGGACCTGCTGTTCCCCATGCTGACTCTTCATGGCTCCTCCAAGGCAGGTGTCTGTGGCCTTGGCTGAGGTGGTCCCTGAGGTGGCCAGGCCCAGCCCTCGGGTGTACACTGTGGCCATGCTACTTAACCCACCCACCTCCACGGGCATTGACTCTGATTCTCTTTCTGAGCAGGAAGACGAGGCACCTCCCAGGCCCCCACTCCCCGAGCTGTACAGCCCTGAGGACCAGCCGCCAGCTGTGCCCCCGCTGCCCAGGGAGGCCACCATCATCCGGCATACGTCCGTGCGGGGCCTCAAGCGGCAGTCGGATGAGAGGAAGCGAGACCGGGAGCTAGGCCAGTGTGTGAACGGGGACTCCAGGGTGAGCCGAAAGGGTGGCCTGCTGTGTGGGTGGAGGGAAGACAGTGAGACATTGGACAGGTGTGACAACCTGGGACTGCCCACAGGTGGAGCTCCGGTCATACGTTAGTGAGCCTGAGCTGGCAACCCTTGGTGGGGATGTGGCCCAGTCCTCGCTGGGACTCGTGGGCCTAGACAACAGGTACCAGACGCTGCCAGGCAGAGGTAAGGCAAGCCCCGGGGTGGAACCCTGCAGGGCCCCATCACCACTCACCACATTGGCAGGGAGGCCCTGGCCTCTGGGCCGCATCCTGGTCCTGTCCCTGTTTTATACCTCTGACGGTAGGCAGGAGCTGTGAGACCAGAGGCATCTGGCTTGGCGCTAGTTAAGCACTTTCCACTAGTGTTCAGAATAGTGTTAGGGGGTGAGCTGCCAGTCAGTCCTTCAGGATAGGGCAGGGCCTCTGCCCCTGCAGGCTGGGCCGCTGGGCACTGCCTCCTGCTGGCTGCTGCAGCTCTGTCCCCTGGCCTTTCTGTGGCTCTGCAAGGCCTGTCTGAGCCAGCATGGCTGTTCCATGACTGGTGTCATCGTCGCTGCCTGCCCGAGCTGGGATGTGTAGGATTCCGTGCCCCTCCTTCAGGCTGCCCACCTGCTATGCAGTGCTGGGCTCCTGTCTGCCAGGAAGAGAAGTCCAGGGGAGCCCACAGTGGGGACAGACGCCCCCCATCCTCCCCACCTGGTCTTGCTCTCCCACCCCCAGGGGTCCAATTGGGGAGGGGGGACAGAAAGGGGAACATCCCGTCCGCCCCACCATAAATTGGCTTGTGCTCCTCCCTCGGCTCGCGAAGGACTCTCGGGGTCCACATCACGGCTGCATCAGTCATCCACCATCGCCCCCTACGTCACGCTCCGGAGGGGCCTCAACGCCGAAAGCAGCAAGGTACCCTCCCCTGTGAGTGACCAGCCTTAGCCAGGGCCTCCCTGCCCCTCCAGAGGCACAGAGAGGGGGTTCTGAAGTCACAGTGGCCAATGCACCCGGCGAGCCATGGGGATGCCATCCGGGGTGGCCTTGATACCTTACCCGCCCTCCCCTCGTCCGGTAGGGTCCCTGTCCCCTACTGCCCCCTCTCTGTTTCCAGGGGACCCCTCCCTCATCCATACAAACACCTTCCACCCCTCAGCCTGCCTGTCAGGGACCTGGGAGGGAATCCAAGGGGTCTGCCTCCCGGAGTGCAGCCTCATTGCTGGCCATGTGTGTCCACTTGGATAGGCCTGGGCCTCAGCATACGCATCTGCAGAATGGAGTGCTGCCCGGAGAGCCCGGGACGGCTGAGGGCACCCTGGTGCCTGGAGGGAGGGTGGGTCCGTGTGGTTGAGAGCGGTCCAGCCTGAGAAGAGCAAGCGAACAACAATGGGGACAAGGCCACAGGGTGGCCACCGCCCATTCCCAGCACAGCTCCTGTGTGTCTCTCCCCTTCCTCAGAGACCCAAGAGTGCCTTGGAGCGCCTGTACTCAGGGGACCAGCAGCGGGGCCGCATGAGCGCGGAGGAGCAGCTGGAGCGCATGAAGCGCCACCAGAAGGCCCTGGTCCGCGAGCGCAAGAAGACGCTGAGCCATGGAGAGCGGACGGGCCCGTCTGCGTCGCGCTACCTCAGCCCTCCACTCCCCGGGGACGTGGGCTCAGTATGTTAGGAGGGGCCAGGCAGCAGGGCTGGGGCGGGGAGCAAGAGCAGGACAGCACAGTCCGAGCCATGGGCCGCTGGTTGACACAGGTGGTTCTGGCTGCAAACGCTCCCACAGGAGTCGGTTGTGCAGCACGGCCCAGGCCAGAGCATCACCTGGGTCCAGAACAGGAGTGCGGCTCCCAAGGCAGAGACCCCCCCAAGACCTTGAGGACACACCTGGCATGTTCTCGGAGCCAGGCCAGGAGCGGGATCTCTGCAGGCACTGGGGATCGGCAGAGATGAAGCACTGGGCAGTGTGGGGATGCAAGCCGGTGAAGGGAGACAGGGATAGGATTTGATGAGGAAAAGCGCAAACGAATCAACCAGCCTCCCAAAACCTCAGCCGACCTGCTGCCGGGTCTGGCCCCACAACCTGTGGTGCTGACGGGCCAGCTGGGGGAGTCGGTGCTGCCCCCTAGCGGTGCGACCCGGCACTACAGCCCCCCATCACCTGCGATCCCACTTGGAGACATTCCACGTGATTCTTCCGTGTTGTTGGACATCCTGTGTCTCCTAGACCTCTAGCCTGACTGTCCTTCCCCTAATTCATGGCACAAGCTCTTCGGCTTTTAGTGTGACCGCTCATTGCCTCTCTAATCCTGCCTGATTGTGTTTACAGACGCTTCCGTTGTGCACCTAACGTTCTCTAACTGGCTGGTGCTCCTTATTACCAGGCTTGTCATAGCAGCTTTTGTCACCCTAGCCTAGCAAGCAGGTGTGTGAGTTGCCTTTCCGCTGCCCTCCTCCAGGCCTGCTCACTCCTGCCCAAAGCCGTCCCCCAAGCCTGAGCCCAACCGCTGCCTGGAGACCACAGTCATTGGCGGAGGTCTGGGCACAGAGTGTTGACCCCAATCCATGCCTTATACCTGAGTAGTAGACACGGACTTCAGAGTTTGCACGTGTGAATAAGTTCTCCCAAGTCTGAGGTTGTTTGATTTTAATTCCTCCGGTCCTATCCCACCACTTCTTAACGGGAAACCTTGTGTGTTCCTGATATTTAATAATGTGAACAGATAGCAACGTAGTCTGGATTTTCAGAGGGTTTCTCTGCAGCTGTTAGACACCCACGGGATAAGACCCAGGACACTCTTATCATGAAAGGGTGCAGAGCTGCTCACTTTAAAACTTTGTAACCAAATGTCATATGCAGTAACACCTTTTACTACCCGATGTCGCCAATGTAGAGGTTATTGCAGAATCATCCTTTAAATACATTGTCATTTTTTTTTCTTTTTGAAAAAGGCTCATGTAAGTCTGTGCATCAGCGCCAATAAATGAGTTGCTTAATGGTTGTGGATTGGCGTGGTTCTTTCCTAGGCTCACTAGGAGAGTCTAGGCAGCTTTCCTGTCTGTGGCTGCAATCAGGCTGGCTTGCCCAGAGGCCCTCTCTGTTCAGAGCACTTGGGAGCGTGGATGAAAATGTGCATTTTCTTTGTGCTTCAGTCCATTTTTTCATGCCTGGAACTTCAGCTGCCTCATCCTGCCAAATTATTGGGCAAACAAAGGGCAGATGCATTGGTTTGGAGTTAGAACGGAGAGCTTGTGCGTGAATGGGTGGAATGTGCTACTGGGCTAGAGGTTTGGGGTTTGGGGGGACAGGGCACCTGCGGCAGTCCTGCTTGGTTGGCGGGGGTTCCAAGTGGTGAGTGGCATGGGGGCCACGAGGAGACCCCTGGTCAATCAGTGTTTGCCTTGCTTCCGCTCAAGAGGAAGCTGTGAAGCCCTTCCCTTCCCAGTGATCTGCTCAGCAGTCCCAGGCTCATGCGGACAGACGCAGGCCCTGGGCGAACAAGGGGCCGTCCTGCAGCTGGACGGCCATGCTTGGATCTCCCGGAACACCTGGGTTAGGTTTTCCCTCTTGGGAAAAGAGACTTGCTACCAAACAGCCACAGATCCCACGGCACTGGGTGTGGTGTTTTGATTTTACGCAAATTTGGGGTTTTCCCTCAAGAAAACACCCATCTCGAACAAGATGCTATTTTACCCCCATGGTTCTGTCTGCCGCCCGGCCCTGGGTTTTTCTGCCGGGTCCTCCCCTACCCTGAGTGGGTGCAGGGCTGGCATGGCGTCCTGATGGGAACTCCCCACAGAAAGGCAAGTGGGTGTTGCACTTGCTCTGCAGGGTCTCCCAGCGCTTGCTTGTCCCATCACCTCTGAGCAGATGGGACAGGTGCCTGCCCTAATGTTCTCAGGTTCTGTGGGGGGCCACCCTCTTAGGCCTGCTGAGACCCTGCAGTCGGAGGTCTCTGATCCATGCCCTGTTGAACTCAGTGAGGGGACTGGGGTGAGACCAGAGAGCAGACAGCGTCTGGAGCAGACCACAGCACCAGACTCCAGGCCCTTCTTCCCAAAGACCCTTCACCCATAGGCAAGGCGTGTCCAAACGGGACCAGAGTGACACTCGGGCTGGGGAGGAAGTGGGCTGCATTTCACCCTCTTGTTCTGTTGCCAGTGGAAGCGTGAGCAGGAGTTTGACCTGCAGCTGCTGGACCGTGCCATGCAAGGGGAGAGAAAGGACAAGGAGGAGGACGGCTGGCTGAAGGTGCAGGCCACGCCTGTGACCGAGCTGGACCTGGAACCTCAGGACTATGACCTGGACATCAGCCGAGAGGTGAGGGAGGGCTTCCCTGGGGACTCTCCAGCCTGCCACCCCTCCCAACTAGGGACAAGGCGTGGCTCGCAGGGGGCCCAGATGGCCCCTCTGAGGCTGTGAAAGGAGCCCCAGTGTTTCAGTGAAGGCTCCGCACTCCTCCTGGGGTTGGGGGCAGGCTGTCAACTGAGCTTTCTTGTACCCTGGTGTCCTTACCAGAAAAATGGGTTGTGTCCACTTGTTCCTGCAGTTTTGGATAGGCACGATTGGGAAACCTGTGGAAGGTGATGCGGTAATTGTCAGATGTTCCCTGCAACACCCCCGGGGCCGGGTGCCTGCAGACTGATGGAGCCGACTTGACCAATCAGACCTCCAACTCTGACTGAACAAGGACACTGCGCACAGTTCTGGGCTGAAGTCTTCTGGCGCCCTCTGGTGGTGCAAATGCATCATGACGGGCAGTCCGCGAAAACAGGGACACCCTGGGTCTCTACCTGTCTGGAGGTCTCCCTGCAAGGGAAGAGAAAGGGAACCGAGGACGAAAGACTCAAGGCCAAGACCCAGGTGGTCCCCTGAGGGCTGCATTGAGCTATGTGTATGCTCCCCAGGGCTGTGGCTGTTGGCTTCACCCTTGTATCCCTAGCCGCCTGACACCAGGCCTGGCACACACTTTGGGGCCACCATAAAATGTGCTGATGAATCCCATGCTAAATGCATCACACGATGGGCCACAAATGGCTTCCTGAGCCATCAGCATTGCCTCCCAGGGTCTGTATTTGCAACCTGGAGTCAGGAGCCGCAGCCAGGAATCAAATCCAAGTGTTGCAATACAGAACTAGGACACAGTATCTGCATTTGAGCCCCTAGGCTAAATGCCCACCCCTCCAGAAACCTTGGTACAAGGACTTGACCTGTCCTGTCACTTCTGGAGCAGAGATGTCTTCATGTGATAGGTAGATGTAGGTAGGAGCTCAGTAAACCGGATGGGGCTGGTGTGAGAACCAGTGCCAAAGGGGAGCCAGGCTGCCAGGCCGCCTGGAGGAGGGGCAGGTCCACTCACAGGCAGCAAGCTTGGCCAGCAGTGCACACAGCCCACCTGGAGTTCCCTGGGCTGTGAGCACACAGACACCCGTGGAGGCTGCTGGGGCTTCGGGCTTCACCAGGCCAGGCCCCAGCCTGTCCTCTTGGCACCCGAAACATATCCACAAGAGAAGCATCCACCTGCGGTCCTGGCAGGGGAAGTGGGTCCTGTAGTGTCCCTGTTGGCCTGCCAGCCCTTGGGAAAAGTCCCGCTTTATCTCTAACCTAAATCCCTCCTGCTACAATGTAATCTTTCTTCCCCTAGATCTTCTCTCATTGGAAATGAAACAGAAGAAGTTATTTTTTGCCATCATCCTGCCTAGTGGAAAAGGCTGGGAGGCTTAAATCTTAAGATGGCATTTGCCCTGGGATTGGGTTCAGCTTGTTTTTAGGAGCAATTGAAGGAGGTCAAAGTTTACTCAGGTAGAAGTTGCCTTCAGCATTCTCCAGCCAGAGCAAAAGTTCACCAAGCTGAGTTTGCTGCTGGGTTTAAGTGAGATATGGCTGAGGTGCCCTCTTGGGCCCTGGCTTCCTGAATGGCAGAAGATACAGCCTGTTCCCCTCTTGTCTCCATCAGTAAAGTTCTGTAGAGAGAAAAAGCATTGTTGCTTCCTTCTGTCCAGCATCCATCCGTAAGTGTCATGTCCTCGCAGTGGACAGCAAGAGACATCAGTGGCCGGAAACAGAACAGCGGGGTTGAGAAAACAAAGTCAGAGAAGGCTTTTAGAACATCGAAGGGCTGAGTCACCTGAACTCAGGGAAGATCGCCCAGGGGTGCACATTAGACACAGCGCCCAACATGCTCCTGGCTGTGGCCACATCCCATCCTACAGTGCCAGCATCTGGATCCCAGCTCCACTCCCAGTTCCGGCTTCCTGGGAATGGGCACTCCGGGAGGCAGCAGTGGTGGCGTAAGGAGTGGGATTCCTGCCACCTGTGTTGGAGGCCTGCATGGAGTTTCTAGCTGCTGGTTCCAGCCTTTTAGGGAGGAAAAAAAAAAGACAGTGCATGGGAGATCCCTCTCTGTTTCTCTCAAATAAACAACACGTCTAAAAGCAAAGAAAAACATCACCAATTAAAAAGTGCACTCCAGGCATAGGAAGCAGTTGGCACAAGGGCCCCCCCACTGTGGGAAGCCCTTGCTGGGTTCCTGCTGCTGGAGATGTCTCAGGGACCTCTGGGACAGCACCCGGAGTCTGCCAGCCCTCCTCCTGGCTGCTAGAGGATTCTCCGGCGTAGCAGAAAGAGCACAGGCTTTGGAGTGAGATCCAGGTTCAGATCCCAACTCCGTAACGGAT